ACCCACAGAGATGACACTTTCCACTCTTGGCAAAGGATTCAAATCTCTCGTACTCAGTGGGCCTGGAACTTTCTTTTCCCTCCCCTTACCTCCTCCCTGATGGAGGTTGGTAGCTGGATAATCGCTTCACAAAAGGTTCTTTTTGAGATAATAACCCTGTACTTGACTCCTTATTCTACCTCTCCATAGATGCACGGATTGACCACATTTCTTAGGCTTCTTCATCTGAAAAGTTGGAACCAAACAGTGTACCTACTTCATAGGGTTATTGTCAATAAGATAGTGCATGTAGAACATTTGTCTGGTGCCTGACACATACATGTAAATACTCTGTTAACCTTGCTTATTGTTCTCCAGGGACACCCGGCACAAGACCAGGAGTCTTTATTCATTTATTCGTTCTTTAAATTGTTTTATTAGCTGATACTTCACATGTCATATACTTTAATCATTCAATCACACTAAGATTTGTGCACGTATCACCACAATCAATTTCAGAACACTCTCTTCTCGTGCTCATTGTTGTTAGCTCCCCATTTGCCCCCAACCTCCCATGCCATGACCTTAGGTAATGATTAATCCAGTTTCTGTCTCTGTAGTTTGCCTATCCTGGACTTCATATACAGAAAACAGTACAAAACACAAACAAGAAGCAAGCAAGCAAACAAACAAAAGCCAATAGCTGTAACAAACCAAACCAAAGAAAAACCTCAATGGAAAAGAAAGCAGAAAGTATTGAAAACTGAAACAACTTTAAAAACGAGTCAGAGGAGAAGATCAAAGGATAAGGTGTTACATGTGGACCTAACTTCATCTGCCATAATCAACTTTCTAACGTTCTCTTCTCGTCCCTGGCTTATGGCTAGAGGGGGTTCACCAGAGGCTTCGTCCATGTGGGAACCAGACACATCGGTTTTGGGTTTCCACTGTTCTCCACAGCCTACTGCAAACTGAATGATCAGAATTTATGCTCTGATACCGGTTCCTCCTCTGGATTTGAATATCATTGTTTTCCATTCTCGGATCGCACAGGCTGTTTCTTTCATGGGGACTTAGTTGATGCCTCACTTAGATGGCTGCTTCCGTGAAGATGAGCTTTTAAGACTCCTGAAGCGATTCTTTCTGATCGCCAGGGACCGCCTTTTGCTACAGCACCCTTATCTTCAGTTGGGGCGAGCCCCAAGCAGGACCGTGCCCTAAGAACCAATTGATCTTACATTGGAGCTAAAACAAAATGGAAGCCCCAAATGCGAAGGAGCTTTCAGAGAAAGGAGCACATCTTCTGTCTTGCTACTGCCTCAAGTGGAGTCCCTAGCCCTGAGTCCCCGTAACTGGAGGCTGCCCTGTTGTTGCTGTGGAAGAATTGCACTTACAACCCCATGGGTTTGTAAGACCACAGGCTTCACTCAGGGAAAATGTGCAGAAGTGACCAAGCCCCAGGGCATTGGTCCACTGACCAGACTCAACAGTGTGCCCAATGTTACAGACAGGGCAGGTTCAAAGCAAAACTATCTAATAGCTTCCCATCATTGGTTCCCTGGAGAGTTAAAGCCACTCTCCCTCTCCGTTAAGCATCCAGTAAAGTGGATCTGGTTTTCTGGTCTTCTTTCTGGAAATCAATGACTCAGGCCTCCAATAGTGTCCGTTTCTCTCACTCTCTCTCTCTCATACACACACACACACACACAGACACACACACACACACACACACACACACATTACTCAGAGCCTGGGATGGAACTGGGAGTTCCCTGGTAGTGTGGTGTAATAGAGAATGGCAAGGTTCAAGGTTCTGACCACCCCGAGACAATCACCCATCCCCATAGGATCTTCCTGGACCCTGAGGCTGGCTGGAAGGGCAGGCAGGAAGTGAGTGGGAAATGCCACTCAATCACCTTCCTGTGCACTGTTGGCCATTCCAGCTCCTTCCAGCCAATTGCATTCTTTGTGGTCTTGGATCGGCTCTGCTCCAACACTCTGGCACATGGGACAGGTGTCAGAAGTCTTCCCTTGCCTGTCTTTCCCTTTAACTTGGAGCATTTTCACAATGACAAAGGTGTGTCTTGAAATTCAAAGCCCTAAGGGGCAGTGGCTGGACACCAGAACAGACACCACCACTATAGAAGGCTAATGGCCTTCATTCGCATGACCCTGGGTAAAGGTGGTCCCCAGGGGGTTTCAGGGAGGCTGTGCTCCTAAAGGGGAGAAAGAATGGAAAAACTAGAGTGGCATGATGTTGTGAGAACACTGTTCTGGGGTCAGGCTTTCGGCTTGGTTAATGATGGTTAATGATTTGGGTGAGCCAGCTCTCTCCTGCTGAATGTGAATGTTGAAGGTGAGTGTCTATAAAGCTCCTCCTGGACATAATGCCTGGTGACTCATACCTTGGTGGGGGGTGGGGAATGGGACAAGATGAGACAAAGACATGAGATAGAGGCTGGCCATCAGTTTGTCAGCAGGCTCCCTGGGCCACTGGTCGGAATAATGGTCTTGCATGGAACTATTTAGCAAGGCCCCCTCGGCCCAGCAGTGATATCTTGCAACATTTGGCAAACATCTTTGCCATGTCAGAGGGAGATGTTTTTTGGCCTTCCATTCAGGAGACCTGGGTTTAATCCCCAACCAGTGCAATGCAGGCACAGACACCACAACTGTATTAATGGAGACCAGCATGGTTCTCTGACGTTCAACAGGTTATAGTGGCACTTCCAGACGAAAATAGACTAGGAAGGATGCCCTGGAGATCTACTTTTGGAATCCCCCTATGAAAACCCTATGGATGACAATCGTCTTATCCTTTGTGCACACAGTCTCCCTGAGTCAGCCAGCTGGAGAGCACTGACAACAGCCCCTCCATGCGGGTCCCTATTTACATCAAGAGGTCATCAGGAGAGGGTGATGTCATAAAGACATCTCAGAGACACCTGAAAAGTGGGGTCTCTCAGGGATGTTTCAGAGAAAACTCACTGCCATCTAGTAGATTCCAATGCCTAACAAGACAAAGGATGAGGTAGAACTGCCCCTGTGCCTCTTTACAGAATTAGAAAGCTTCATCCTTCTGCTGAGAAGCAGCTGGTGGTTTCAAACTGCCAACCTTACAGTTCAGAAATGAGGGGGAAATCACCATCAGTACTCATTAAGCACCTTCATAAGTCAGTTCATGGAGAATTTGGGATTCTTTCTCCTCTATTTAGTTTGATCTTCATTGTTATTACAAGAGCATAGCAAACGCCTTGTGCAGTAAACCGTTCAGATTGTTCCTATGCGTATTGAAAATATGTGTGTTCTTATTACCAGACTCTATTATTATTTTTATATCATTGCCACTTTATTTTGATTTTGTTTCATTGTTTCTTTTTTTTCCCTTTCTTTTTAAAATCATTGTATTGGTGGCTTGTACAACTCTTAGCACAATCCATACATACATCCATTGTGTCAAGCACATTTGTACATTTGTTGCCACCGTCGTTCTCAAAACATTCTGCAAGCTGAAAATCTGAGCATCTCCTTGAAATGGTGGAAAGAGGGACTGTGTGAGATGGAGAAGCAAGGGTAAGGCTAGTCAGATGACCATGGAGAAGCAAGGGCAAGGCTCGGCAGAGTGTCAAATGACCTAGGCCTTTGATTCTACATGGAGGTTTGGAAAGGAATGGGAAGGTGGGAGTAGAACCAGCAAAGACAAATGGAAGGCTGGAGCTTTAAGCAGCTTAATTGTCTCTTGCAGACTGAATGGGGCTCTTGGATCTGACCTTTGGCCTTAAGAAAGACAACAGCCAGGAAGCATGCTGAGGGGGAAATTGAACCTGGTGTGAAGGTCGGGAACTTGGTGGGAAGCCTTCAGGCCTCCAATTGCATTTAGTTTCAGAAAAATGTCAGCTTTGTTGACTGAGTGGAGGTAATACATGGAAGAGTCTAGGGGTGAGGGGAGAATCTTGATTGTGAGGAGATGATAATACAGCATTTAACTAATTATTGTTCCTGGGCAGCTTTAGAGAGACTCCGCTAGCTTTTTTATTGTACTGATGCATACTGGGAAGCATCAAATTAGCAGTTATCAATCAAGTTGTCCTAAAGCAGTTCCTAAAGCGTCGCTTGAGATTGGCAGCATCTGACCTCTCGGAACACTTGTGCATGGAGAGGAAAGGCAGGCAATGAAGAGCAGAGGCCTAGAAACCTGGCCAAAGCAGCAAGGGGAAGGGGCATCCCCAAATTACAAGTGACTTCGCTGTTGAAATTGGAGGTAAACAACAGGCCAGTGCTCACAAGCCAAGGTCGAAGGGAGGTTTGGGCAGTGGTTGGTTGTAAAAAGCAACAGCAATTGTGGAGAGGCCCAGGAAGACCAGAATGAATTTTTAAAAGCTGGCCTAGTAAACAGAAGAGCTATTCCAGGAGTCTTGACAAGGGTGGTAAAAGGAGGCAAGCGACTAGGGAGAATGGTCAGGAAAGGGCTCCTTGGGGCTCCGCGTGAACTGATCCCAAAGCAGAGTGTTCCCAGAACTTTCTCTGACGGAAGAACCATTGTGGAACTGAGACAGCAAGGAAGCTGTTGGCCATGCTAGATTTTTCTAAGTACACCAGCTGCTAGCACAGAGGGAGACCAGCAAAAATCAGTCTGAGCTCTTGTTTCCCACAGATAAAACCCCTGCAGTGCTGTCCACAGCCAACGTGCCACCTCACTGAGGCCCGACAAGCCCAGTGACCCTAGTTCTCAACCCCCTGGCAAAGTACACCAGCCTCAACTCACCCCCTGAGTCAAAGATCTGCAGAAATTCCAACCCGAGTCATTGAAATGAAGCTTCAAGCCACCACCAACAAGAGCCGACAGCAGTCAGCGTAGGGAGCGGCAGCTCTGTGCCTTTCAAGCCTGGTCCTGATGCTGTGTTTCTTTCTCCTTCCTCCTGTAGATCACGGTGTGTGGGCACGTCTCCTCAGACAGCAGCCCTGCTGTGCGCGGTGGCCGTTCAAGGTTTTGACTGTGTGGGTTTGTGTCTTTCCGGCAGGTGTCTCCTCTGTGACCTCCCTGATGTCCCTGGCTTGGGTGCTAGCCTCCTATCACAAGCTGCTGCGGGACTCCAGGGACGACAAGAAGAGCATGAGCTACAGAGGGGCCCTCATCCACCTCTTCTGGCGCCTCTTCACCATCTCATCCAGAGTTATCTCTTTTGCTCTCTTTGCTTCCATCTTCCAGCTCTACTTCGGGATCTTTGTGGTGGTCCACTGGTGCGCCATGGCCTTCTGGATCATCCATGGCGGAACAGACTTCTGCATGTCCAAGTGGGAGGAGATCCTCTTCAACATGGTGGTAGGGATTGTGTACATTTTCTGCTGGTTTAACGTCAAGGAAGGGCGGACTCGATATCGAATGTTTGCGTATTACACGATAGTCTTGACCGAGAACGCTGCCTTGACGTTCCTTTGGTATTTTTACAGAAACCCGGAGACCACTGACTCCTATGCGGTGCCAGCACTGTGTTGTGTCTTTGTTAGCTTTGTGGCTGGGATCACACTGATGCTCTTATACTACAGTGTGCTGCATCCCATGGGGCCACGAGCTAAGATCTTTGCCAGCTCCTGTTGTGCCGAGCTGCTCTGGGGCATCCCTTTGCCCCCCGATGTTGAGCCCATGGCGCCTCAAACCCCTGGGTACCGGGGGACCCAGGTCACGCCCACCAGAGCCGTCACGGAACAACAGGAGGATCTCACGGCTGACACTTGCTTGCCCGTTTTCCAAGTGAGACCCATGGGGCCCTCTACCCCGTCAGGGCGTCCTTACCACCCAGAAGGGCCCCTCATTAAGATTGACATGCCAAGGAAGAGATACCCAGCTTGGGATGCCCATTTTGTAGACAGGAGGCTGAGAAGGACTATTAACATTCTGCAGTATGTCACCCCCACCGCGGTCGGCATTCGGTACCGAGACGGACCACTCCTCTATGAGTTGCTACAGTATGAGTCTTCACTCTGAAAGCATCCTGACCCACGTTGAGACGGGGGCCTGAAGCTGGGTTTGCGGTAAACACCGCTCACAAGAAATTTAACCCTCCCTTCCCCCAATACACAGTACCATGACCACCATCACCACCACCACCACCACCACCACCACCAGTACAAAAAAAAAGATAATAATAATACGTCACAACCCCTTCAGATAAGCTTTCTTTCCAGTCGCTGTATGTACACAAAGAAATTCTCTATGTTTTGTAAGTAAAAACAAAAAGAAAACCTTTCTTTTGTTTTTTACACATAAGAAACAGTATTGAAAAATCCCACACTATGGTTTATAGGGTGGAGGAGGAGGAGTTGTCTCCACTCCAAAAGAGAGAAAAAAAAAAGTTTTATACCTTACACCAAGCGTAGATCATTTATGGGATTGGTGCTGATTGAAAGAACAAAACAAAACAAAACAAAACAAACACAAACAAGAAACCTTCAACTGCCTTATGCCCTTAGGTGCTGAGTTTCATTAAGTACTGTCATATTTCCTCATGCAAAACTCTCTGGTGGCTTTCACACCAGGAGAAGAAAAATTAAACAATCAAAATGAAACCAATCTAGAAACCGAACAAAAACCAACCAACCAATAAAACACAAAGCAATCATTCTTCCTATCTGATTACTTGGATTGAAGAAAACAAATTTACCAAAAGCATAAGCATAGAAATCATTCTTCCTTTCGGTTTTGCTCCCTGCTCCCTGGTCCTGTATTCCAATTAGCAAGGTCTCCGAGGAGCTCAGATGCTGTTTGGAAACTCAAATAGCTGGATCAGCTTCTTGAAGCTGACTGTGTGCCATCTTAGCGTTCACCCAGTAAGAATCACCCCTGTTTCCCAGTGGAAAGCAAAACAGAGCAAAACAAATAGCCACCCCAATAATTCAATAAGGACAGGGCATTCTAAAGCCAATGAAAGGAGAGTCCCATATATGCGATCGAGCAGAATCAGTAATAATAAAACTCAGCATAGTAGCAAAAAGAACGACATCAATTTACAGGCACAATACCTAATCAGTGACTGGCAAAAACGATTTGCTCTGTCATCGAACAGCCGCGAAAGGTGTACGTTTATCACCTGCGATACTGTGTAAGGCCTCTTCTGTTTCCATTTGGTGGGAAGCCTTAAATTGATCTGGAAAGAATTCTTCATTTTTCATTTGTGCTTAAAAAAAATTAACACAAAGAGGAAAATTAGAATATATATATATATATATATATATACACACAAAATGTCAAATTGTAATAACTGACCCATTTCAAAGACTGTTTGGTGCTTCTGTCTCTCACCATTGTGGTTGGCTGAAAATCATTCAGCTCACTTGGTGCATATGGGTTGAATGGGAAATCTTGTGTGCATAGGATGTGTGTGTGTGTGTGTGTGTGTCACAGCACGCCGGTATACATATGTGTGTCTGCTGCAAAGTCTTGCCAGAAACAGATAAAACTAGTAGGAGAAAGACTCTGCTTATGGCTTGGTTGCGATGGGGTGTACATGGGGAGCGCAGTGGGTGGGGGCAGTGAGGGTGTTAGAATGTGAGCCCCTCCCTGGATGGCAAGACTCGTACCAGCAGCATACTCTGGGTCTTACAGGCCAGGTTGTCTGTGTGAGGATCTGATTCAATTATTTATTTTCTCATTGTACCAAGTTGAATTTCTGGAGGTGTTGTAAGTATGTTTGACCATTTAAAAAATTTTTTTTCAAAGTATTACTCCTTGGAAGAATATTTATGTTCTAGGGCATTGTCTCAATTCATCATATCTCTACTTGGGCACAAAATTTAAAAAAAAAAAAAAAGGAAAAGAAAAAAATCACAAAAAATAAAAAAAATAAAGACTCCGCAAAAGATATATATATAAATAAATAAATATATATATATACACACACAATATTTTTAAGTAAATACTGTTAGTCTTTGTTGTGTGTATTTGCAGTTTTGGGGTTTTGTTTAATTTCAATTCCAGATATAAATGCTTAGGGTGCAAAACCTCACATTGAACTCTTCTTCAGAAAAGTTCAAAAGCTGAGGAACTTTTTTTAAATACGTGTGGGTTTTTTTTTCATTTTTAAGTTATTATTCAAAGAAGCTCTTTCCCACCCTTTTCATTGTTGACCTAAAGCTTACGAAGAAAAAAAGAACCTACTTAAAATATCAGTTGTCAAACAGAACGCCTTCTCCTTTGTCTGGATGTCCTTAATTTTATTTACTATTACAAAAACTTTGTTATGCCCAGTGTTCTCAGCCTCCCTCAGTTTCCCCTCAGGCTCTCCCTGAGGGGAGGAGGAGGAGGACAACTGGAACTCTGAGGGGTCAGTCCCCAGACAGCAGGTGCCACAGAACAAACCCACTCTCAGAAGGAAGCAACACTGAACAGAGCACCCGAGGCCTGGTGAGAATCCGCCTCACAGGCCTGTCTGAGGCGTCCCTCTGCCCAGGCAAAGGAACAGGCCCCATGTGCCCCTCATTTGGTATCTGGGAAAGTGTATCTGGTCAGGGGTGCTTTTCCTGAAGTGAGTCTCCTGTTCATTCCTCTCCCCTACGGAGTGCTTAGCTCCACTGTGTACTCTGCCGAGGCTGTGGAAGGTGAGGCCCTTTGAGAGGTGCCTGCCCCGCTTCTGGCTTGCTGATGTCCCAGCTCTTGTCTGCCTCGGGCCTGGGGCCTGCATCCTGGAGCTGTGCCCAGGTCACCATGGACTCCTCCCGGCTTCCTTGACACTGTCTCCCACACACCCCTTGGGGACTTTCGCCACTTGGGCTTGGTTGTTGTTGTTTTTCCTACTTCTTGCATTTATTTTCTTCTCATTCCCTTTTCATCTCAACAGAGCCATCGGTCTTTATTTGCCACCTCTAGTTTAGCACTCCACATCTAGCGTGTGCGTGTACGTGCGCGCGCATGCGCGCGCACTCATGAGAATGTGTGAGCTTACGTTTACATGAAACTTAGAGAACTGACTTCGACCTAGAGCGCCAAAAGTTAGGATGCTAACTTCCGCCTCAGGGAGGGTCCTCTGGGGTCTCAGCCACTGGGAACAACTGAGAAGATCACAGGAAACGTCAGCCACACAGGCTTTGTTCCCACCTCTGAGGAACTGGGCTCCAGGAGACTCAGACAGAAGGGCACCCTGCTCCCATGAAGTCTTATCCGCCACCCTTTGCCTCACCCACTCCACCAGGCCACAACCTTACTGATAAAATGAACATCTGCATCTAGAGGCAGCAGCTGGGAAATTTTTTCTTCTTCTCCTTCTTCTTCTTTTATTCAAAGAGGCAGAGAAAAGGAATAAAGTGTAGACATAGAAAACAAGGAAGAAGAAAGGGACTAAGAGAAAAAATAGAGCAAATGACCAGTCTTGAGTTTGCATCTGTCTTGTTAGCCTCCTGCCGTTTGTTGCCCTCATTCAATCACACGCTCCTTTGGTCCCCACGATGGCCTATCTGTGGTCTTTCCCCCAGCACTTCACAGCACTTCCCCTTCAGAGGGGCTGCTGGCAGCTGGCTAACCCTGGGCAGCCAATGCAGGGTTCACAGGTGCCCTTGGTGTGGACTCTCCCCCTTGGAAGTCTCTCTCCCTATCCGAGGACAGTGGTCCCGGGTGTGCACATCCTTAAGGCTGGCCTGTGGTAACATCACTCTCTACAACTGCTGGGGACTGGGAATCCACTTTTAGTCAGTCATGGGACAGGCACAACAAGGCTGTAACTCTCTTCTGCCCAGACTGCTTTTAAGCGGAATGCTTACTTTTTGTTGTTTGTTGTTAAAATGGTCTAAGCCAGGAATCCTCAATTGAAAAAGAAATCACAATATTTCCTTTGGGTAGGAGATATGGTTATTAGTATTAGGAGCTACAGAATAAAATGAAAAGCTATCTCCCTTTCTTTCCTCATTGCTGCCAAAAATGTATACATATGCATCCGTTTATGTACCACCTCCCATATTTAATTCTTCAAATGGCTTAAGAAATGTGGCCTCCTTTTTGTTCTCAGAAATGCAATAGTATCTCTAAAACATGACTGACTTCTCTAAGAGTTCTGCAAGTTCTGTTCCTTCACTGCTCTGTAGCTCTGGCCCCTCTATCTGCTTCTCCATGCAAGGAAAGCTCAATCTCCCAAATAATATCTGGGTGATGACCTCTGACGTCATGGTCACAAGCCTATGGCATCCCACAGAGAAGTGTCTTAGCTTTTAAGGCCACAATGAGGGGAGGGGTTTGGTTTCTGTTCATATGATTCATCCCCACTGATCAGACTCATTTCAAAATTTCTCCCAGCTCATACACACCCCTCCATTCTATCTCGGGAATCTCGGGAACATCTCGCCTTGCTCTGCAGATTTACGCTTGTTCTACGTGGGCAACCGAGAGAGTAGTTGGAGACCATCCTCACTCCAACCAAACTGGGGCCAGAATGGAGCAAGTCACACTTCTCTCAATTCTAGTGTATTGCCCTCATGCCATACCTCAGCAAGGAAGTCAAAATTACCCGATGGTCTCAGGGGTTCCCCCCCCCCCCACTTCATTCCACACTACAAATATTCCCTAGGCACAAACCCCCTCAACATTCTATAGCCCTTATGTTCCTAACCCATGCCCTCCATGCCTCTGAATCCTACAGGGGCTTCAATGGAATGCCTGTCTAGACCATGGTTACAGGTGGCTGTGCTGGCATCAGGCCCTATCCCAGGTTAAGCCTTATCCCTCGAGAGAAAAGCATACAGAGTTTTTTTCTTAAAGTGTCAACATCATATTATTTCTCCATTCTCCCTCCAATCCTACCCCCTCCCACCACACAGCCAAAGGGGTATTTGCTGCTGATCTTATTTGGAGGTTTGTCTGACTGGACCTACCTCCATGGTCCATTTCCAAGTTCTTACGTCACTGAGAGAGAAACCCTCCGGCCCTTTCCATTTCAGCTCTGGGGACTGCAACTGATCCGTGCCCAACCTCAGCCCTATCCTTTACCCAAAGACAAAGCAAGAGGAGGAGGACATTTCACATGCAACCAGCCTTTAGTTAGTTTTAAGAGAAGGTCCCTTTAGGTGGGCGTCCGCTCCCGCCCTTGTCTTCTGTTCCGGGCTCCTGCATGGGGGTGGGAG